TTCTTTTTACTCCGTCACCCCCTGTCTTGTCTGTGCTGCTTTGGATTTGACGACCTAACTAAAGCAGACCAAAGAAAGGCAGTGAAAGCACTCTTTGTAATCAGCTAGGACATCAGAAGCAGATTTCAGCCAAATAAACGCAAACCGAGATGAGAATCCTTGCCTATCTTGTTGCATTTCTGCAACTAAAATGTTGCAAGGTTACACCTAGAAAACTACCATTCTAGTTTATTGATACCCCCCTTCTTCTAACCTTTAAATCTATTAACGTTGAAGCTGGTTGTCAATTCACGTTTAAACAGACTGATCTGCTCTGTAGCAGAACTAGCACTCCATCATAGCAGCAAAGAAATAACAGGCCCTACTTCAGGGATATAGTGACATGAGTGAAGATGGCTCATGCATTCCAAAATGCAAAATGAATGTCTCCAGTGTAAGTAAAAATTGGTCCTTGTGAAGAACACATGTACATGCAATGAATACCATTTCCCTATGCGACGCTAACAGAGATAACATTTCCTACTCCCTCTAACAGCGCTACTGATTTGACTCAATCTGTGAATGCACCAAATTTCCTTCATGTCATCCAGTTATTTTTGATACATAAAACCCTCCTGGTTCATCAGACCTGTAAGCAAATCCAAGGAGCTATTGTCAGAAGTCAGGGATTTTATTTACTCTTTCAGTGTCAGTCAGCGTGCTTTCTAGGGATACTGAGTGTTACATTGCAAGAATCATGGGCAGACTTATGTTTTCTTTTTTCCTTGTCTCTTCCAGAAGTATCTACAGCTTGCCCAGATTGTTTTTGACATCTGCTGCCTTTCAAAAAAGGAGCCCATACTGAGAATTCACACATGGATTTTCATCTACAGTTAAGAGACATGACATCTCCAAAATTTCCTAGTGTAGTTGCTGTACGTACTGACCAAGCAAGTTTTCTTGTCACGGTGACTGTCAGTCCTGTTCGGCATGACTGAATTGAAAACCAATGTCCTGGCAGCCTAAAAGGCAAGCAAGCAAGGGGGAAGATGGGGTGGGGAAGATTTTAGTCACGAGCTCACATCACTATGTTTCCGAGGAAAGCAATTCTCCAGCATCAGCAGTCTGCCTTTCCAACCCCCCTCTCTGACACATTTTCTAAAACTTGGTAAAAATTCCCATCTGGAGCTGTTTTATGCTGCAGATGTTTACACATATATCTGCAGGAATGACAGGATCTTGATAGCCTTCAGCATAGTGTCATCTTCACATTGCAAAGTTCGTTCTTCTTGCACTTAGCTGGATGAAGAGCACAGCTAGAAAGTCAGAAGATGCAACTGAAAAATAAACAGAAATGTGATGGAGATGGAAACAAAAGCTAAAAAAAAAAAAAGGAAGTCCAGCAGAAAGATGGTCTATGCTTTTGATCTGAAGACTAGATGTAATTCAGGGCATTCCTAGGTCAGGTACCTGCTCTGCACCTGGAACAGACCCACTCTAACAACAGCTTAATATAACGCCTGCTGCCAGCATTAGGATAGTACATTTGACCTACTGGACTGCTGCAGTTTAGGGAGGGGTTCTGTTTTCTTGGCATAGGTAGTGACTAGTCAGTAAAAGAACAGTGAGATTACAGCATCTCATCATTCCTTTCTTTTTCCTTGTTAGTAAGTTAAATTATTACTGGGGGTGCGGGTTGAGGGGGTGGGGAAGGAAAAAAAAAAGAGGGAAAAGTAATAGCTGTATTACACCAGCTGTGAGAAACAAGCAGGCACGATAGAGCTTGCCTACGTAAAGGTATTGGATGGTCTCATATAATATGTTGCCTCTCTCTCGAAGGCTTGAACTCCCTGTGGCCTTGCAAGGCACATTTAATCTTGCTTTTTAGTTTCTTTACTTAGAGAAGTCTACAGATTCCAAGAGGCCATTGGACCACAAAGCAAAAACTTCTCTCTGTGGCTGCTACTTGATGTTACAAGCTGTTTGTAATGCAATCCTATGGTACGTTACTGAAGTCTCTCAAATTCTCAGGTGGGAGTTACAAATCAGACTTTAGGCTGGACAGTACAGATCTAACTTGCCAGTGGTTTTATTCGTCACCAGTTCTCAGTAAACACAAAGACTAAGACACCTCATCTGTATATCAGAGACCCTGGGTCCTTGCAGGTCAAATGAAAGCCAGCAATAGTTCCAGGTGACCAGCAGCTCTGGGAATCTGCTCACAAGTAACGCAAATTAGGCAGCAGTATCTTTGCAAACTTCTGAAAAGTTTCTTACAGTCATAGTTTGAATTAAAATAATCAATCGGGTAAGTCAGAGAAAATAATTCCTGTGGAGGGCTTCCAAAGGAACAATGAGAGAATGTGAGGACCAAAACCAGCTTGGCAACAATGGTCCCCATGTACTCAGCCAAGGTAAAGCATATCATGGGGAACCTAGGCAAGGCACACTTTGTTTAGAAGCATTAAATATGCTCTAAAAATTCATTAAATCTACCAGACAAGTTCCAAAGTGGAAACTGAGCAGTAAGAAGAATGCCGATGTGTAGTAGAGCTACTTTTTCTTCATCTCTAACAGATTTATGCTAGGATATAAAAAAAAAAGTAGGAGTATTTTAAAACTGTTTGAACTACTCTGATTTGCAAGGATATGAAAGTTATTCGAGTTCCAATACTTTAATTAATAAGAAGACAGCATTATATTAGAACTGCTTTATCAAGCCATCTCATAGATGTTGTTTAACAGAATGGTTTCAAGGAGGAAACTGTTGTTGTCTCTAGAATGGAGAGGAAAACCTGTGTGGGAGCATAGCTAATGCCTGTGGTCTTTAACTGGAGCTGGGGCCAACTCTGTTCTCACTAGAACCTCAGTTCCATTTAAAGGAATTGCCAAGTAAGCTTGCTAGCGAGAAATGTATAACAAAGGGTTCATGAATTTGGATAATTCTGACTCATGTATCATAATTTTATTTATGCCCATTTGTTTCTAAATATCTGTTCTTTTTTTTTTCTGAAGTAAGATGCATTCTAAGGCATATGAGTATTTTTTTATACACTGCAAGGTAAAAAAAAGAGCTTGAAGTTGGGCAACTGTAACTTGCAGTACCAGTGCTCATGTGGCAGATAACCTGAGATTCTATCAATCTTGGCAATGTTTCCTGGCCCATCTTTATCTAAGAATGAACTGTTCTTGGATGGTTTCTGTAGGATACTAGGCATAAACAGAGCTTCTTTTTCCCTCCCTTCAGTGTCTGGTTCACGGTCAAATTCAGGGTTGGGGTTGTTTTGGAGTTTGGGTTTTTTCCTCTCTCTTGAACAAAATGTATTGTAAAAAATGAAAATCTCCCTTCAAATTTCTGTTTTTTCTAATCTATTCCTCTAACATGTTATATCACGACAATGAAGTGTAATAGTGTCATGTCTACACTGAGCAGAATTAACGGTCATCTAGGTAATACAGCTCCTAGTTTGAATAATTCTGAAGTTTTGGAGATTTATCTAGTATCCTAAATAGGGTCGAAATGCAGACCTACTTTACTACCAAATACAAATCTCAGTCATCAGATCAGTGAAACAATGAGCTTTCCAAGTTACACAGCAGGTGGAAGCAAAAGTCAGTGTATACCGTAAATGGACAGATCAAGGTCCAAGTGCTGATCAATAAAACAAGGAGCTTCCCAAATCAGACAGCAGGTGGAACCAAACATCCTACCTTGCAACGGCAGAGCCAACATGTTTAAACACCATAGTACTGAGAGGTCTTGAGTGTATCCCAAAAGGCAAAACTATCGGTAGCCCCGGTGGCCCACAGGGTTACAATTTTCCTAACATTGAGAATTAGAAAGTAAATGAAATGCACTGCTTTCGATTTTATTTAACTAATCGTCCCAATGGTAGGTTCAGTAAAAGCGGCCTTCATCCGCTGAAGCAGGGCTACAAACCACCTGCCAAGCTACAATGCAGGATCAAGGTTGGTACGCTGCAATTTCTTCTCCATGTGCACCCTGAGTGCCATTACTCACTTGTGTAGAGGGAACGATGATATTCTGACTGGGCATTGGTCTGTGTTCTTTTTGAAGGATGGTGAGGACACAGTTTGCAGAGACAACTGCTGAGACCCAAAACACCATTTCTGCTTTCTCACACCTGATACTAAGGAGCAGATGACAGCAGTAGTACTCACCTGTATTCAGGGTGAACACCACATGGAGTAGGTACATCGAGTTAGTACTTCCTTCATCTTATGTTTTACTTCACCAAAATTTCCGTTGAAAAGGCGGCCGAATAAAGAAGCCCACGACTGGACACTTCTCTTTTTCTTAATAGTACCTTGTGGTTGCCGCTTCTGTGGTTTTGGGGGGCCGGGGGGTCTTACCTGAAGGGGAAAAACCCAGAAGCCTGGTAATTTCCTCCCTTTTCTCCCACTTTGAGCTTAGCACGATCGCTAGCCAGCACTGCGAAAAGAAACTGCCCGGTCAGGAAGGCGGAGATGCGCCCTGCCACAGAGGACCGGGTGCCGGGGAGGGACCGGCCGGCTCCCCAGCTGGCCAGCGCGGCAGCTTTGACACGGGTCTAACGCGACGCCGAGGTTATTTTTGCCAACATTTCTGTGAAACCGTGTGCCGCGGAGCCGACCTGACCAGACCCGCTGCCGCCTCGGCGGGGAACGGCGGCCGGCGGCGCCCCCCGCGCCGCCATTCCTGGCCGGGCCTCGGTCTCTCCGGGCGGCCGCCGCCATCTCCTGGCTCACACCACCACCTACTGTCGGAGGCGGGTTAGCAGCCGGCCGGCGCCGAGCCCGCCTCAGACTGAGGGCGGCAGCCGCGCCCGCGCCTCAGCT